CCTGCACGGCGGCATCATCCAGTGGTGAGCGGGACCGCGGCGGGACCGGGACCGCCCCGGAGGATGGGAGGGGCGAGGGGGGCGAGGAAGGGGAGCGTGGCTCCCTCGGCTGCTGTCCCCAGGACCTCGGACCAAGTGCCAGGGGCGACCGCCTGCACCCTCGGGGCCCTGGTAAAAGGCTCAAAAGGACAGCCGTTCACACGCAGGACCAGCGCTTCTCCATGCTGGCTGGGATGGGACTGGACACGCACACACGATGGGGCAGTGTGGGTTTCCCACCTGGGGCCTCCCCTGTTGGTCAAGCTTCCCGTGGGAAGCAATCCAGCCTGCCCTCCAGCGGGGGGCTTGGTTGGTGGGCCTGGGTTTATATATACATCTGAAAGCACGAGGGCTAGGCCAGGAGAGGAAATGTTTTCTCTCAGTGTGCGATCCAGAAAGGGATGTTTCCTAACTTAAAGCAAAGCAGTTTTTAGCTCTAACAACGCATTCCACATTTGAGAAATTCACTTCTGGCTGTTTAAATAGAGGAAGAAAAAGCTGGAGAGAAAAATATCATCAGCCCTTGGGACTGATGAACTCATGGGTTTGTAGTGCTTCATAAATAGAAAAATAATTGAAACCAGTACTAAAACATTCGTTTAAGAAGGTGAATAACTAGTAGATAGCTGATAACTTCATTTTTTTATGTTTTAAGGAGTATTTCTCAAGAAAGAAATACTTTCTGAAAAAGTTCAATGAGTGAAATAGAAAAATGAAGGGGAGTGTTTGTGATTAGAACCCAAAAGGCCTAAATGGTCACCCCTTTACTCCAAAAGAAAATTTTTGATATATTTTCCCTTGCATAAGAGAAAAAAATCAAAAGAATAAATATTTTAAAATAATTCTAAAAATATTTTTTAAAAAAACAAAAAACCACAGCACACACAGTGTTTTTAGAGTGTTGCACAGCAGAACTCTATTTCTTTCACACTTAGACCCCTCAGCATATCTGCACCTTCAGGTTTCAGGTCACCGTTTAGTAAATTAGAGTTTCTAGGACTTGGATAAGTCCAGAGACTCGAAAGAATGGTTAGGGTTTCAGAAAATACCTAGATGTTCTCCTCAGGTCATTTGTGAACTGACGCTGCAGGCTGCCCACAAAGCAGATGCCCTAAATCACTTAGGATGGTATTCAAGTCCTGTGTCACAAACTCCTGTCCCTGCAGGCCTCGGACCCAGGGGGCCAGGTTATGCTCTTCAGGTGGGGGGAGGCGGGGCCATGGAGGTGAGGAGGGGCAGAGTTTCCCTTGGAAGACTGCTGTTTAGGCATCCCATCTATGAGGTGCGATGCTTGAGAGGTCATTGTGCAACCCACCTGGGTCCTTGGACTCTTTAATCAATAGAAGTTGATAAGACTCCAGAGGAGGAATTCAGGCAAGTCTTTATTGGGACTCGCGCTACAGCAAGAGGGAGCGAAAACAAGTAACAGGTCCCCTTGCTTGCTGTCCGAGGAGGGCGGGCTGGCGGGCTGGCGGGGCGGGGCTTAGGTGGCGTGCCCACCGCCTTGGTGGTGCCGTTTCGTAGGGATCGTGTGCAGGACCCTGCTTTTGCTCCCAGCTCCTCAGAAGTGGCAGTTGGGTTTTGGCGGTATTGAATCTTCTTGTTCATAATTTGCCCCAGCTGCATGTGCATGCAGTTACGTGTAGTTCCTTATGTCAATAGTTTCTTTGTATTCTGATGCTCTGGGAGACGTTTGTCTGGGGCAATCACTCTGGTAAAGGGTCGCAGGTCCCAGCCTGTCTCAATTGGTGCTGGTGGTTTGAACATTGGCATTAAAAACGCAACTGCAACCACTCCACTGGATTAGGATGGCCATTAGCTGGTTAGGATGGCCATTATCAAACAAACAAAAATAGAAGATAACAAGTGTTTGTGAGGATGTGAAGAAATTGGAACCCTTGTGCACTCTTGGTGGGAACGTAAATTGGTGTAGCCACTGTGGAAAATAGGATAGTGGTTCCTCAAAAAATTGAAAATGAAACCACCATGTGATCCAGCAATTCCCCCTCTGGGCATATGCCCCAAAGACTTGAAAGCAAGGATTGGAACAGATATTCGCATCCGCATGTTCAGAGCAGCGTTATGCACAATAGCCAAAGATGGAAGTAACCCAGGTGTCCATCAGCAGATGAATGGATAAACAAAATGTGGTCTATACGTACAATGCACTATTATTCAGATATAAAAAGGAAGGAAATTGTGATACAGACTGCAACATGGACGAACCTTGAAGACATTATGCGAAATGAAATGAGCCAGTCACAAAAGGACAAATAGTATGTGATTTCACTTATACGAGGCACCAAGAGGAGTCAGCTTCATAGAGACAGAAAAGAGAGTGGTGGTTGCCAGGGGCTGGGGGAGAGGGAACGGGGAGTAGCGTTTCTGGCCAGTACAGAGTTTCAGTTTTGCGAGACAACCAGAATTCTTTGGATGGATGGTGATGCACCAGCAATTGCACAACAGTGAGAAGGTACTTAATGCCACTGAACTCTGCATTTAAAAAGGGTGCATTTTATGTTACGTATATTTTACCAGAATTAAAACATGAACAATTTTTTAAAAACCAGACACAGCAGAGCCCCTCGGTTTGTAACAGAGCTTGGCGTCCTGGAAGGTGTTAGAAGATGGCCAAGGAGACCAGCTTCCTGGAAGAGTGGCGGTGGGTACTGGCGCGTGAGGTGTCCAGATGCCCAGAAACAGCTCAGGCTTCCGAGTGAAAGCCCAGGGAGGGGCTGATTGTTGTCATGTGAAAGAAACGCTCCGTTTTTTAGCATATTCGTTGTTTCATCTCCCAGTCAGTCCTGGTTGGGCTTCCAATGTTCCTTAGAGACTTCAGTGCCTCTGCCACCAACTTGTGGTAAGTTCTCCAAGGACAAAGAAAGGTCCCGCAAGGAGAAAGAAAGGTCCTGCCTCTGGAAACCGAAGTCCTAGAAGTTTTCTGTTTCACGGACAGGAAGGATTGTAGAAATGGGGAGAGAAGTGGTCAGACCTCTGAGGAGCACAGAAGGATGAAGTGACCTGATTTCCTCTGCTGAGGGTACAGATCCGGCAGGTCGGACAGGTGGGCCCCCTGGCTCAGACCTCAGGCAAAAAATCTAAATGTCACCTAAACCCTACGCACGCAGAGCCTGGCTATAGACCAAATAACTGTCTCCTGCATATAAATACGGCTTTCAGATTTCTGCAGACTTCTTGTGGTTCATAAGGTGGAAATTTACTTCGAAAGGTACAGAATTCGTAATAGCCTTTGATCAGGCTGAATCAAAGGGTACAGTCACTCCCAGTGTTACATTTTTCTTTATGAGGAAAAGGAGCCCTCAGAAATGTGAGAGCCGCAGGACCTGGTATGGGTGCTCTGAAGTTTTCAATGATCAGATTGTCCATCACTCAAAACGGGGAGAGCGTCATGAGGTTCTCAAGATCTTAGCTGTCAGCTTCGTCTGATGGTGAGACCTGGGGAAGGTGATTATGCACCCAAGCAAGGAACTGAGTGATCTGGTCGACTCCAGCCTTGGACAGGCTTTATAATCATGTATTGCCAAAAACCGTATTGGTGGCTCCGTGTGAAAGCAAGCAAGCCTTGGCCCGTCTCACCTGCCAGGAGTCCTGGCCAGCCCTACTGCCTGCATATCCTCATCGCGCCCCCCCACCGGACCCACGTGTAGTTCAAAGTCAGGCTCACCTGCAGTAGGTGCTTCTGTGCTGCCGGTCTGCCAACGTGGACGCCTTTCTCGCTTCCATTCAGGATTTTGGAGGTGGACGTAAAAATGGTAACAGTAAGAGCTGCCGTGTGCCAGCCAGTGTACCAGCCACATCCCATGCCTGGATTTCTCATCGCAAAAACTCCAAGAGACGTCTCAGAGTCAGAACCTACACCTGGGTCTGTGAGCTTTGAAGCCCTGGGTCAGAGTCATGGTCGTACGTTCCTCTGGGCATGGAGACTAAATGCAAAAAAGCACGTACTCTTTAAGCCGAAGTAAAGGCACCATCTGAACATAGACGCTCTTACGGGACCTTCCACTTGTCCACTTAGTGTGTGCTGCCTCCTCCCACGGGCCATCCGTGAGATCTGGCTGTGAACTTTGGGGAGGAGATGAAAGGCCCTGGGCTGAATCTCCTGGAGCAGCAAAAGTACCAAGCATTGACGCTGGGCTCGCAGCCAGGAGGCAGCCCTTTCTCTGAGTGTGGGCGGAGGAATGACTCTGGTCCTGGACCTTGGTGGGATATCACTGATGGTATAATTTGGTCTTAATTGTCCACTCAGATGGCAGTCGGACTCAGCAGTGTCATCTTGAAATAGGAGGACAAGAGGCCCAGAGCACATGAATTTCAGTGACAAGGAAGAACAGTTGGCAAAAGTTTATACTCAGGCTCATTTTGGAGAGTATTTTGCACGTTTCCTTTTTAAGGAGACCTTTCCCTGACTACGTCAGAAGTAGCTATGAATAAACAAAAGTGAGCTTTTGCCCCTCCCCCCCAAACTTAGCCAGTGCTTTCCTGTGACACTTCACATGTCGGTTTTTTATATGTCAGCAAATGTCTTAATAAAATAAATATCAGTATCTCATGGATCTGTGAATTTGCCACTGCCCCACACACCACCAGTGACATTACCCTGTGTTCAACCGTGAAGCAAATAATTGGTGCCCCAGCAGCTGTAATCAATCCATTGTGAGGTGTCCAAAGTGTCAGGTTCCCACCCTGATGCTATGGGAGAGTCTCAGAAAATCCCCTCCTTGGGCTTGGACTGGGTTGAATGGTGCCCCCCTCCAAATGCATGTCTGTATGGAATATCAGAACGTGACTTTGTTTGGAAATAGGGTCCTTGCAGATGTAACCAGTTAGGAGGAGGCTCCACTGGATTAGGGTGGGCCCTAAATCCAGTGGTGGGCGTCCTTATAAGAAAAGATGAGGAGGGACTTCCCTGGTGGCTCAGTGTTCAGAATCCGCCTGCCAGTACAGGGCACACGGGTTCGAGCCCTGATCCGGGAAGATCCCACATGCCGTGGAGCAACTAAGCCCGTGCACCCACAACTACTGAGCCTGCGCTCTAGAGCCCGTGAGCCACGACTACTGATCCCATGTGCCACAACTACTGAAGCCCGTGCACCTAGAGGCCGTGCTCCACAACAAAAGAAGCCACCGCAATGAGAAGCCCGCGCACCACAACAAAGAGTAGCCCCTGCTCGCCGCAACTAGAGAAAGCCCACGCGCAGCGACGAAGACCCAACGCAGCCACAAAAAAAAAAAAAGAAGAGGCGAAGAGACAGCCAGGTGAAGGCAAGGGCACTAGAGTGATGCGTCTACAAGCCAAGGAATACCAAGGGTTTCCGGCAGCCACCGGCAGCCAGGAGGAAAGCGTGGAGCACACGCTTCCTCAGCGCCTCTGGAAGGAACCAACTTGGCTGACACCTTGATTTGGACTTTCAGCTTCCAGAACTGTGACAGGATATATTTCTGTTGCTTTAAGCCACCTGGCCTATGGTAATTGGTTACCTGAGGAAACCAATACAGGGCCACAGCTTCCCCTCACCCCGCCATCCACCATATGTTGACTTTTCCTCCTTCCAGGAAGCAGGTGGGGTTAACAACTGTGGTCTCTTGCTCTCGAGGAAAGTAAATGGAGGCCTCAGCCTGCCTCAGCCCAGAAAATAAGCTGTAGGTCATCAGTAAGAAAGGAGGAGATACATCGTTGGTAAATTCCCTGCTAAAGAATTCTTCGGTGTTTAAAAACTATGCTGGCTTGCTTTATGTATTTCTTTAAAAGAACGAGGAGAAACCTGCCAGTCTGTCCCCAACCAGAAAAGGGAAGGCTGTGATTGGGTGTCAATGTGGACCACACCTTCTGAGCCCAGTCACCTGCACTACCTGCCCCCTCGCTCCCATCCTGCTGCTGGAACAGGCACCTGGCTGTCCCCTCGGGGCTGGACTGTGGGCTGTGATCCATGGGCACAGCCCCTTGTTGCCAGGGGACCCCACCTGCCCCGGGGCCCAGGAACACTTGGGCCATTGAAGGTCCCACCCCAAGCAGGGGCCTGGGGGCTGCAGATCACATCTGAACGCTACCAAGCTCTGCACCCAACGGGAAGTAAAGGGCAGGGAGGGTGGCCTGCCTCTCTGTCCCTTGGTGTCTTCCATCTTCCATCTCATTACAATTTAAAGAATCAAAATGTAGTGGCCCCGCCCTAAATCACTGGGGTTTAACAGTCGTGCAAATGACTGCTTCGGGGGAGGGGGGGAGGAGCTGTGCACGCCTGTCCTGGGTCCTAGGAAGCCACGTGGGCTCCAGCTGTCGACTCTACTAGGGGTGTGTGTGGGGGGCATTGTTTTGTGTTTTGGCGAGTAAATCTCTACGTCACCGTGAGAGACCTCGGCTGCCACCTTTACAAAGTTACGTGAAGCAGCGTCTGCTGAGCCCAGTAACTTGGGCTTCTTGTTAATATGCCTGTACGCCAGAAAGACTGAAAAACAACAGCAAAACCTCACCATAGTCTAAATCAATATTCTTAACTCTGGCCTGAGCACATTACAGTTGCCGATGGGGGAGACTTTGCGTTCGATAAAGTAAGCGTATTTCGTTTTGTTGGGTCCCTTGCTTGCATCTGCCCCTCATCAAAGTGTCCGCCTCTAGAAAACCTGATGCCAACCTTCTCTTCCCTCTCTTCTTCCTCCCCGCCCCCAGGTTGGTTGACACCTTCTGCATCTGCGAAGGGCACAGTGTGCCTCGCTGCCCCACGTATGAGATTTATGTGGAGACCTGCGGGCAGAATGCTCAGAACCAAGTCAACCCAGCCACGTTTGGGAAGGTAGGTTGTGAAGATAAAAATACATGTCCACTGAGTAAAAAAAAGGCACGCAAGTTAATGATGAGGATATGCTGGGATTTATTTGGGTCTGATGGCTTCTCAGTGGATATAACCGGCTTCACCCTGGGAACCAGCCTGAGGGCTAACATACATCCTCATCTCCATCTGAAAGCCATTCCGTCCTTTGTCCATACTTCATAGTGAGGGGCCAGGAAAGTTCAAGGATGGGGTGGGATTCACCCAAGAGAATGCAGCTATGGCAGTCTCAGATACCCCCAGTTCTCAGCCAGGCTTGCTGAGCCATTATTCCCTGCATTAGAAATGCCACAGCTCAGGACCCCACAAGCTCAAAGAGCCACTTTGTGGTGTCAGACAGCTTATGCTTCCCACAATTCGGTTGTTCCTAGAGAACTCACGGGCATTCAAAGGTTTCCTCTGGAGGTTAAGAACTCTGTCAGGGGTTTGGTTAGACCGCGTAATACACAGCAAACGTTAGCACAAGGATGGCCTATCTGAGACCTTCCACATCTAACAGATATTTATTGAGCAGCTGCTATGTGCTGGCCCTGTTTTAGGTGCTGAGTGTACAACAGTGAACAGGACAGAGAAAAATTCCTGCCTTTACTACATTTATTATATTATAGTTGAGGGAGATAAAGAAGATGAAATGTATAGTCTCTTAGGTGGTATAAATGCTAAATGGAGCAGAAGGAGGAAAGGACCGTGTGTGTTTTAGGGGAGGACTTGTAGTTTGAGGGAAGGCAAACAGGGAAGGCCTCCCTGAGAAGTAACATTTGAGTCCAGATTTCCAAAAGATGAGGCAGTGAGTATGGGGCTATATGAGCAAAGAGCAGTGCAGACAGAGCCAGCGCAAAGGCCCTGAGGCAGGAGGGGGCTCAAGTAGCAAGGAGGCTGCAGTGGCTGGAGGGCAGAGACCAGGGAGAGACAACTCAGGGAGGTGGGAGGAGCCCAGGTGTGCAGGGAGTGGACAGGGATGCAGCAGCGGATGTCGTGAGAAGGGGTCAAAATCTGGGTGTATTTGGAAGACAGAGCCAATAAGATTTGTTGATGGAAAGAATCACAGGGCTTAATTGTTATTAATAATAAGAACTTTCAATCGTATATTGCATCCTATTTATTTTCAATCCGGTTTTCAGGAATAGACAGACATCCACTCAAAACAAGTTAAAAGCAGAAATTTTTTAAAGGGATATCTCATTTAATCCAACTGCAAGAAGTTTGACTGGGCCTCATAGAATTTAGTCCAGTACTACCCAATAAACATGTAATAGGAGCCATAGATACAATTTTAAATATTCTAGATCCTCATTTTAAAAGTTTTTTTAGGGTGACATTAATTTTTTATAACTTTTAAATTCAATCCAAAATATTCAAAATACTATCGTTCAACACGGAATCAGTATTTTAAAATGAATGCGTTGCTTTTTGCGTTCTCTTCTTCGTGCTAGATCTCAAAAATCCGACACATCATTTTACACGTACAGCCCGTCTCAATTCGGACCAGCCACATTTCAAGTGCTTAGTGGCCACGTGTGGCTGGTGGGTCCCCTCTGAGACAGCCCATGACTAGATTCTACGTCACCAGGCATCTCCTTTCTCTCCCTCTGGTGTATCTGTGTGTAAACCACTGGGACGCTGCTTCTCTGCACTGGGCTGCTCCAGGCCCCTTCCCAGAAGCCAGCTTCTGCCACGACTTCACAGCTTCCCAAGGTGGCTGCTTGTCCTCTGATTCCCGTGATGCTCTCCGTGACCACCTGCCCCAGGGTCCCACACTGTAATGGTCTTTAGGCGAGAGAGGCCCGCAGGAAGGACAGGTGGGTGGGAGGAAACAGTTGGCATCTTTGAGGCTTTGTCTTGTGTCACAGCCATCAGCAGAGGCTGGTGATATTAGAAGTCAAGGAACAAACCAGGAGTGATAACGGTGGAGGGTCCCACAGCCGGTTACAGTGCTTGGGCAGCAAATCTGGTCTCCTTCTTTATGGGTCAGTCCTCTTTCCACCTGCTATTCCCTCAAAAATATCCTGGACTTCCAAGAGAACTTGGAGGTCACTGGTCCGACTCCACATCCAATGCAAGAGCCCTTCAAAAGCATCTCTGGCTGGGAGCTTTTATGAGAACAAAATGCCCTCTCCAGGCAGAGACAGCCATGGGGGCTCTCGGAGCTGGGAGGGGGCAACGCGTTTCTGCAACGAGGAAGCTGTTCTTCCTCTGGGCAGACACGGTCCCTCCCCAGGACCCATGCTTGGCAAGCAGAGCACAGGCGGATGGAAAGCCACCCGACTCCTTGCAGGCCTGGGGACAGCTCACAGCCTGCAGGATCAGACCCCTGTGGGCCACCTGGCCAGTGCTGAAATGACCTGGGGGACGAGCCTGCTCACGGCCGCAGAGATGCCAGTTCAACCTCTCCCTCCCATCTTTCCTCCCTTCCTTCCTGCTCCCTCTTTCTCGGTGGTCCTCAGTGGACAGAATGGAATTGGTTCATGACACGCTCTTACCTTCAGTCCACTCACAGCCTGATTCCCTCTGGTTCTTCCGTTCTTGTGGCCTCTCCCCTTGCGGAGCAGAGTTTCCGGACACGCAGGCTCAGCGGCCATGGCTCACGGGCGCAGCCGCTCCGCGGCACGTGGGATCTTTCCCGAACCGGGGCACGAACCCATGTCCCCTGCATCGGCAGGCAGACTCTCAACCACTGCGCCACCAGGGAAGCCCTCTTTCGTTCTTTTTAACAATGTTATAAGCATCTGTGAACCCACCGCCCCGTATGAACCATATGGCCAGATCCCCGTAGCCCATCTCCCTGCCTTTCCCGCTGGTGGGAACCATCAACCCCTTCATTATTATCTTGCCTTTTTAAAAAGAGTTTTAGTGCATTTGTATGTCTTTCTGTTTTTGTTTTCTTTTTTTTTTTTGACCATTGACCCGCTTCACCCATTTTGACCACCCCCATCCCCGACCTCTGGCAACCATCAATCTGTTCTCTGTTTCAGTGAGATTGGTGGTTTTGTTTTACTGTTTTTTACATTGCATATGTAAGCAAGATCATACCATCTTTGGCTTTCTCTGTCTGACTTATTTTGTATAATGTATTTCTTTTAAAAGCCGATTTTTTATTTTTGTGGCTTAACTTTTTTAAAAGGAGGGTCATGTTATATGTCATCTTTGGGGACTTGTTCCACTTATTATTATATCAGGATTCCTGTACATTCATTGACTGTTGTGTAGTAGTTCAGTTCACCTACCTTCTCTTCCTTTGATGAGCATTTGGGTCATTTCCCAATTTTGCTGTCGTGAACATTCACGTGTGTATCTCCTGCTGCGCACGTGGAGATGTTCTCTTGGGCGTGTTTGTCCAGGGGTGAACTTGCAGGCTGACGGGCTGTGTGACTGTGACGTCTGGGGATGGGACCAGATCGTTTTCTGAAATGATGGCTTCCGTTGCCCTCCCACTGACAATTCTGTAGATTCCAATGATGTTTCAAAAACACTGACATTTTTAGACCCATTTCTCTAGCCACAGTCATCATCCCTGAAACACAGTCATTGGTGGAAGCTCTGCACTTTGGGGATAATCATAAAATAAGGAGTAGAAACTTCTAATATGGCAGCTGCTCAAATACCGGAAAGAATTGTTTAAACCTTCGTGTCTTCCTTTCTTCATTGAATACTCTTCGGTCCCAAATTTTTACTTCCCTGACTACTTGTTTCATTTTGACTTCAATTTATTGGTGTTTCTCTTCAAAGGTGGGTTCCCCAAGGGTACAACCCAGTGTCTCAGGACGGCTCAGAGGACGGGGCTTTTATTTTTCTTTTTTAACTTTTTGGGCTACTATTGGCTTTCATGCTTCCATGCTACTCTGCTGGTTTCATTTTAAGCTTGTGATCCAAAAAAAGAAAAAAAAAAAACCTTCGGTATTTTTTTTCACACAAATTAAAAGTAAGCTAGCCCTCCCAAAACTGCTTTATAAACTGTAAAGCACTCCACGTAGATACAATATGTTGTCCTTGTTATCAGACCGTGGTCATTATGCCCGTGACCGTGGGAACCCAAGAGTGGCTGTTCCCTTATTCCGAGTTGCAGCTTCTCAGTGCCGACCTGCCTTCTACACTCACAGTCATCCAGTCGTCTCAGCCTGCTGAAGCTCACACGTGGGAATAGCACACCTCTTATCCGTCCTTCAATAAATCGAAAGCAATGTGGACACGTGCAAGGTGTTAGGCTCTGGAGCTCGCTGGGTGTCTCTGGAAGGTTTTCCAGCCAGCCAGGAATTCCCCCGGCTGTCTTATCACTCAGCCCACATTTTGTCCTTTCTTCACTAGGCACATTGGGGCACTTCCTCAAGGGCTTTGCTAGTCTGGGTATCCCGGCACTAAGCCGTTTCCTTATCTGGCAGCCTTATCAGATGGGAGTGGGGTGATTTGAGCTTGACACGTCTTGGTTCTGGACGATCTCTACTTCCTTTTTTTAAGACATCAAAGGCTCCTTTTCAAAACCTCTCTCAGATTTTCTTCTAAGTGGTTTCCCCTCAAGGGCAGTCCTACTGCAGGGTGTTCCGAAAAAAGAGTTAAAAAGAGCCTCCGGTGCGTGACCACGGGCATTTGTCTACAATTTTTGATCTTCCTACTTCCCTTCGAATCCATCCGCCAAGACACTGAGGTCCTAGCTTTCAATTCTCGTTGGGAATTTGTCCCCAAGAATGAGTCAGTTCAGTGGTGCTGGTCTTGGAAAGGGACCCTGAGCTGCTGAATCTGTGACTCGGTGGAGAGGGGAGAGGAAAGGGAAAAGGATGTGATCCCAAAGCTTGTTTACAAGAGAAACAGCGAAACACCCACTTCTCATGTCCTGCCCCCCGCCCCCGGGGCTGGGGTTGATTCCAGACTCCACACCAAGTTCCTGTGCAGATGTTGGGGTGTTTCTTGCTCTGCTCAGCAGTCCCGGGTATATGACAGGTCATCTCACTCCCAGTGCAAGTGATGGCTTATGTGGATGAGGAAATTTCCTAAAGGCTGACTTCCTTTTTTTAAAGTATCGTTTCCTGATGTTTTTCTGGGTATGAAAGAACACATTCCCTTTAAGGAAAACGTGGGAATTCGAGAGAAGGGTATAAAAGAAGGAGAAAAATGCCGGCTACGACCTCACCGTCCAGAGATGCAAAAGCACATGTGTGGTTTATTTGCAGGCCGCCGACACACTCACATACACATGGCGGCAGGAGCGGGGAGTGATCACAGAGGCCTCTCTGCTTCCCACGTCCCTTCGGTCCTGCCCACGCGGTGGTGCTTCCTCCCTCCTGAAGGAGCATCTGAGCAGGCAGCCTGACCTCTCTAGAGCTCCTTGGGTGACACAAAGCCCCATTGTCCTTCTAGTTTAGCAAACAGTATCCGTGTGACGCTTCGAATGTCCGGCCCCACATAACGTCCAAGCTCTGAGCCGGGTTTAACGTGGAATCGCTTCCGCGGTCCTCCAGCGAGCTTTCTCGCCAGCAGAGAACTAGGGTGTTCTCTTCCTCCCTCCCACGCTTCTAGCACCTTTGCTGGGTGTTGGTTGGACCCCGTGGGAGGGGAAGGTTAAGAGTGGCTGCAAGTTTCTACTGCACAGCTTCACACTTTGGGAGGCCAGGCAGACCGTTGTCTCCTTGGTGCCTTGGCTGGCTTCTGCAGGGCAGCCCTTGGGAGTGCCCTAGAATGCGTCCCTGGCCTTGGTGAATGACTCTGAAGCCTGACTGCCCATCCTGGGGGGCCTTGCTGGGCAGAGTCTGAGCCCTCCCACCTGTCAGCTCTTTATCACGGGTGACCAGTGTCTGGCCATCGAAACTTCTCAGCCACTCTTGGCCTGAACAGGCTGTGGGTGTGCTGAGCCAGGGCAGCAGCCGTGCCCCTCTGCCTTCCCCCCCAAGGCCACTGGCTGGCCAGCCGTCTCTCGTCCATCCGGAGTCCTCTGCCCAAGCCAGACACTGACTGCGAGGGCCTCACGATCAGCCCTTCAGGCGAATCTGTGAACCCCCTTCCCCTGGGCCCCAGGTGACTGGACCATCCCGTCCTGCACACCCTTCATAGGTCAGGGAGTGGTCTTGCTGCAAGAAACCCCCTTACACATCCTCCGTTTCCTCCTCTCTCTGTCTCATGGTGGGTGATTTAAGTCGAGGACTTTTTAGAATTTTATAACCAAGTTTTAGCTGAAAGCCTGAAGGTGCAAGTCCCCTGGCAGGGGGTGTCTCACAGTTCACCTTGCTGTCTGCCTCTGTTTTCACGCCCCAGCCTCTTGTGTAGACACCACAAGGATGGATAGATTGAAAGATCAATGTGTGGGTGGATGGATGGACATGTGGATGGTCAAACAGGTGGTTGGACAGACAGACAGACAGGTAGCCCTCAGCCTAGAATCAGACTAACTAGTTTATAATCCTGGGCAAGTTATTTAACATTTTTGTGCCTCAACTTCGTCATCTGTAAAACGAGAATATTCATAATGTTAATAATAGTACCTCCTTCATGAGAGGCTTTTAAGAAATTAATGAGAAAAACACACGTAGAGAGAATTGGGCAGTGCTGGCACATAGAAAGCAACCAAGGGCCCTTAACTTTCATAATTACGTACATACATATTTTCACTTAGAATGTCATAAACGTTTTTACATTAAAATATTTCTAAATGCATGGTGTAGAATGGCTGTGAAATATTTTTTTGGTTGTTCCAGAATTCATTTAACCATTTTCCTTATTGAAAATTTATGAAGTTTATAATTTTTCTCTATTCTGAGGAACATAAGTCTCCATCTGTATCTGGTAATTTCCCTCAGAGAGATTCTAGACAATTGTAAGCCCACGTGATAGTTCCTGATATTCTTACCCAAATCCATAATATCCTTGACCTAGAGACTTTGTTGGGTAAGAACTACATTTAGCTGTTTCAACTTGCATTTATTGTATGGTTAGGGAGGGTGAGTCCTTTGGCATGTGTTTTGGTTATGTGTATCCTTCATGTATGTACATTATTATCCGATCACTTTCTATTGGGGTATTAGTGTTTTTCCTGTTGATTTATGTGAGCTCTATATACTAGGTAGATAAGTTTTTTTTTTTACTTATTACATCTTTTGGAAATAATCATCCCAGTTGCTTTTTAAATTTTAACTGTGGTGTTCCCGATTATAAAATGAGATCACAGGATAGTCTGGGCTTGGAAACACTCAGTAAAATAAGACGTGTGGATACTGTCCTGCCAGGCAACTAGGAATTTGTTTCTGCTTCTCCCTCCAAAACACCAGATGATATGCCAGGGCCTTGAATCTGAGCCTGCTGCATGCTTGAGGATAATTCTTTTCGGTAGCTATTATTTTACAACTAGACCTAGAGGGAAGGTTTTAAGCGATTTTCTCAAGAGGAGATGAAGGGGTCAATCTGTGGTTGAAAGTAGGAACTTCTGGCTCCGAATTCTGCCTTTAGACGTGGCTGACGTTTCCTTTTAACTCCCGTTGTCATTTGTTTTCGTCGTACGTTCTGGTTCTCCTTCCCTGAAGGAGCCTCGATTTGGCCTCGTGACCTCGACGTGCCAGGACCTGCCTCTCCGTCCCTAACTTGTGCCTTCCCACCTGGGCTTGGGCGGCTTCCTGGAGGAAGAGGTGGGGCCTGGCGCCAGCCAAGAGAAACGCTTCGAGACACTGTCAAATCCTGCTGCTTTTGGAAGCTAAGAATAAACAAAGGAGGGAGGTAGAAACGGAGGCTGAGTGACTACGGAGCAAATTGTAGAAAATCACGGAAATCATTACATGACAGCTTGGCACATCCTGCCTTCCTGCTTTGTGTTTTTGTAATTTTACCACAATCCAGGATTTCCCTTTTCAACAGACATCCACTTGGATACCATGCTTGTCATGGACCTGTGAACGACCTGTAAACCTGTAAAAAAAAAACAGACTTCTGTTTTTTTTAAATGTAATTGGTCATAGACATCATATCAGCGCTGTCTAACAAAACGCACATCAGAAAGTTGGTGGGGTTTGGGACTTCCCTGGCGGTCCGGTGGTTAAGACTCCGCGCTGCCAATGGAGGGGGCATGGGTCCGATCCCTGGTCGGGGAACTAAGATCCTGCATGCCGCATGGCATGGCCAAAAATAAAGATAACGGAGAGATGAAACGTTGAGTCAGAAGTAGCTGTGTTATTCAGTATTTAACAGCATTTGCTAACAAAACCTTTAAGATGAAAAAATTAGGTAAACGAATGAATAATAAAAAGTGAAAATGCCAATCACATTGGAAAAAAGAAACTAGTAAAATCACGGCACACTCACATGCTGGACTATTTTGCAGTGTTCGTATTGATATTTCCCTGTTTTCAGAGGATTTTTAATGCCAAGGGGAAGTGTTTATGGTACAAGCTGGAGGGAAGAAAGTGGAAAGCAGAGCTGCAGACATGCTAATGGTGCAATGCTGGCATTTCCTATGTAGACCCACAGAATCCGCGTACATAGTGAGGCTTCGGAAAAAGATGGGAGTGAACCACATGGAGGTCCACACGGCAGTATCCCTCCGAGTGGTGTGTTTCCTTCTTTATACTTGTCCGACTTTTCCAAATTTCAGTTACATATATCTTCTTAATGATCAGAAAAGAGGGAATACAGTTTAAACGTGGCAAGAGACGAAGCTGGAAGTTCTATTTCTAAATTTTCAAATTTGCAGCTTTAAATCTGGCTTATTCTTTTAGCTTGTGCACTTGGTTTTCCCTGTTCTTGGCACCCGGAGGTGGGGCACAAGAGGAAGTGCCAGGTAGGTTGATCATTTTTGTTTTATTATTTTTTTAAATAACACATTTCTTAGAAGTTAACATGTGCATAATAGGAAACCAAAAAAACAAAAGAAGCGAAACACAAAGTCATCCATAATCACAAGCAGTTTGTTTTATTTTAAATGTTAAAAACACACATTTTGAAAAATCACAAGATGGGTGACCAAAGAAATGCAAAACTAAACAAACGAGAAATATCAACTCTTACCGAAGAGTTCCTATAATTATATGAAATTCCCAGTGCCTGGTATAATTCAGGTGATGCCAGGACCAAATATGAGTCTCTATCTTCTTGAGAGATTTTGTTAAAATACAAAAGGCACAGACGCTTCCAGCGTTTAGACATGTAAATGTCTAATTGTTGAAATAGTTAAGTAACTATATCCCTAGAACAATAAAACTGTTTTAACTACTCCTTGAACTAAAATTTCTAAGCATTCATCTAATTCGCATATTTGGATTCTATTCCGGAGACAGAAGGTACCCAGGTGATATTTTTAACTTGCAAGGAAATTCCAGTGTTATCGGGTGCGTCCTGTTATAATTGTCACTCAGTTATCATTGTTATTTGTTGTTGGTTTTACATCAAGAAAAATCAGGAGAAATCAGTGAGATCAGGAAATCAGTAAGAAGGAATGGAAGCCAAACTAGGGAAGGAGCCTGCCACCCTTGAAGGAGTGGAAGGCATGGAAGAGTTTGCCAAGCTAAACACTGGGCAGCAGTTAATTTGAAAAAAATTTGTTGGGCTGCTAGGAGCCCATACGAGCTGCTGCCTTTCCCGCCTCAGCAGAGGAGGAACCAGCCTTCCTACTGGGGGTCTGAGAACCTGAGTCCATTCAGCAGAGGGGACACTGGCATCGGTCCACCTCCCTTTGAGAAAGTCAATGGCGGAGGCAACCGGAGGCTTCCCCTGTGGCATCTCTTTAAGATTCGAGTGTCGTAAGTCGGGAAAGCAGAGGAGAACATCTGCAAGCCCGTTTCAAAGTTGATGCATGTGAAATAGTATGAAATTGTCCACCTAACAGAGCTTGGTCAGGCCGTATGACTGGTTAGCTTTTCCTAATAAGTGGAGTCAGTGATGAAACCCAAAGAACTCTGGGGCTTCCCTGGTGGCGCAGTGGTTGAGAGTCCGCCTGCCGATGCAGGGGACGCGGGTTCGTGCCCCGGTCCGGGAAGATCCCACATGCCGCGGAGCGGCTGGGCCCGTGAGCCATGACCGCTGAGCCTGCGCGTCCGGAGCCTGTGCTCCGCAACGGGAGAGGCCCCGGCAAAGAGAGGCCCGCGTACCGCAAAAAAAAAAGAACTGTCTTCCTTGGCTAGTCTGTTCTGTGTCTTCTCTAAAGCACGCCAGTGGTTTGACATCATCTTGAAGACAACCTTGATTTTTCAGGTACCATTACGACGGGATCCGTATCAAGAAAAGTTCTTTCTTCTGTGCCCAGTACTGCTGCCTTCTGGGTGAAAAAAGATATCACAGGTTAGTACCTGTCATTTAGGTATTTTGGTCATAGGTCACAGCCTGATCAGTATTAGGACCGTTCGTACTTTGGTTGAACCTAACTGGCTTTTCGGCTGTTGTGCCATTCATCCTTCTTAAGGATGGAAGCACACACATCACATGACCATGCCTCTGACATGGGCCACATCGTTGGCCAGAGAAACGCATATCGCGTTCACTTCCTTGGATACTGTTCATTTTCATCCTCATCTCAGTTGTCAAAGCCGTTTTGCACAAAGTCTTTGTCCTTCTCGATCCCTCTGTCAAATTTGACAGAATTAGCCACTTCCTGCTCAAAACTTCCTCTAGCCCTCAGGACTCTGTGTCATCCAGTTCCTTCCCCAGAATGAGCCCTTCTTGGTCTCCTTACCTCTCCCCGCACCGCCCCCCCCCCCGCCCCCAGGGCATGCATCTCCCTGAGATCCAACCCTTCGTAATCCGTGATGCTCTTCCCACGCTTTGGCCCCAAGACACCTCATCCCTTTCTGTCTTCCACCTGTCTCTCCGTCCCTGGATGACTGCTTCTAAATCACTTGTGCTTCTCATCTCTCCCACCTCCTAGGCTTTTCTGTATGGCTGTCTACTGGACATTTCCCTCCAGAAGACCCGCTGGTACCTCACACTGAGGATGCAGAAAGTTAACTTCATCCTCTCCCTCCAATCACCTCTGCCTCTTGACGTCCCTATTTCCATCTGCGATCCCAATAGATACAGCCTGCGCGGAGCATCACCCGAAAGCCATCCCTGACTCCCTCGGGTCACAAGTCCTGTTAATTCTTCCCTTTCGGGTCTCCTGACCATTCTTTATGGTTACTGATGTTTCCTTGAAGCCCTGGTCATCTCATAATAATCAGGATTATTTCCGTGGATCCCACGTGACCTCCCTCTCCTCAGCCTCACCTCCCTGTAAACACAGCCGTGAGTAAAGCAACTACGCTCCAGTAAAAATTAATTTAAAAAATTAAATTAAAAGTATAATAACAAATAAATAAATGGAAGGAGTAAGAAAATAATGGATAATCTTGATTTGGCGAAACTTAAAACTTCTTTATCTTAAATAATTAAAGGGAAATTCCATGTGTCTATGGGCCGCATTCTTATAATAGATATAATTTAACAAATATAATACTTAATGGCAAAATATTCATGTTAATCCATATGAAGGCTGAGAACCCAGCAGGACCAAAACCAAAAAGAGATATTTAAAAAAGAGAAATATGAATTCCGAAACATGTCAAGAAACCTTAATACCTTAAGTAATTCTGTGAAAACTGTCTTTGTAACAGTACTCATTAATATAAATACAAACCCCTAAATTTCAAAATAAGTAAATAAATAAATAAACACACAACTGTGAGACTAACCTCCCCACAATTCTGCATTTTCTTTGTCTCTTTCTTGCTCAGAAACACTCAGGAGCTTTTGCTCTTACCTCCTGCGTGAAGCCTACGCACCCCCCTTTCCCAGACTGGTATCCGCCCCCCAGATCCTTCCTACTGCACTTTATCCGACCCTGTTGCCAGTGTCTCCCCCATATAAACTGCCGGTTTCAGCCATACTCACTTTTCTCTGAAAATGTCAAATGCGGTTCTGTCTTTGCTCCTATCATCCTGTCCTTGCATGATGTCATTCCTTCTCTCTGTCTCAGTGGCCCTTTCTGAATCCTGTCCCTTCCCTGGGACATACCTCAGGGACCACCTGCTCCAGGGAACCGTCCTCAGCAGCCCCAGCTCTAGGGAAGACCCCCTCGTCCAGTGCCCCACACCGCTCACCGGCTGTCGACCCAGCCAGCGTTTCCTCTTAATTCATACATTGTTCATGGAGATTTCATGTGGCATAAATAGAGGACCGCATATCCAAGTAGCCAGGGTCAATTTTACCCTTACTTCTAGCCCAGCATAATGATTAAGAGGGCCCCTTTTACTCTCCAAAGGGTTCTAGTGTGGACAAGAAACTGTAATGAATTGTATGATCACCTTTTGTATAAGGTACCCTGTGTTGTAAGGCAGCGGCCAAGGGGGAGAGCCATGGGGAACCACCGGTATGGGTAAGACGTGGGCCCGTCTCTCTGATGGCTTCATAGAGGAACTAAATGTACATTTCGCTTGATAGCAAGTATAACGTGACGGGTGTCGGAAGTGTACACAAGGTCCCGCGAGAACTCAGAGATGGAGAGCGCACGCCTTGGGCCAGGGGATCAGAGGGGCCCGGGAGAGAGGCGAGGGGCGTGCTTTGAACCAAGCTGTGAGGGACTGAGCGTTGAGAGGGAGGCGGGAGGGAGAGGATGTTCAGGCTCAGGGAGGGAGGTGAGCATACACAGAGGTGTGACGGCAGAGGCTTCCCTGCCATGCAGGATGCGGAGATAGGGTGGAGCCCGTCCCACCAAAACCTCGAACTCAACCTCGAGTCGAGTCCTTATTACCTGCTTCCCACCAGCTCCCCTCTTACATCTCTTATTCAGCCCTTAGTCACAAAGATGGAAAAATGAGAGCAGCAAAAATAGAGAAGTTAGGGAAGGGAGTCGGAAGGATGAGAGATGTGTTTCAGTCATAGTCGGACCTTTCCTTGCGCAAAGGGGATCTCTCACTTGCTGATGTGTGTGTGTCTTTGTTTGCCCAGAGCACCCAGTAGGTGGTGTGGAGAGCCCTGCATATGCGCGCACACACACACACACACACGGAAAACACACACACAAGGGACTTGAATTCGATGCTGGGGGCGGGGTATCTGTAAGCCTTTGGAGTCGTCCTCTGGGAAACAGGATGTTGTCATCATGGGAACCTCTGCAAGGCCAGGAACCATGGTGTCCTGAGGCCTCTGCATTGATGTCACAGAGGAAGGGGCTGGAACTGGTCTTTGTGGGGAAAAAATAGGCTTTACCCTCATCGAGGAAGAGGAGGGCTTCAGGGGACAAATCAGGACAAGGATGACATTGGCTTATTCTGGAGATCAGCCCAGCAGCAGGTGCTTTTAATGTCCTGCGCTCCTCACGTGTCTGATAATAGATAAACTCTAAAGTCTTGGCCAATTAAGAGATTTTGTTTTAAAAGCATTAAGGTTTTTTTTTTTTGAATTTTATTTTATTTATTTGTTTATACAGCAGGTCCTTATTAGTCATCAGTTTTACACATATCAGTGTATACATGTCAATCCCAATCTCCCAATTCATCCCACCACCACCACCCCGCCACTTTCCTTGGTGTCCATACATTTGTTCTGTATATCTGTGTCTCAATTTCTGCCCTGCAAACCAGTTCATCTGTACCATTTTTCTAGGTTCCACATATATGCATTAATATACAATATTTGTTTTTCTCTTTCTGACTTACTTCACTCTGTATGACAGTCTCTAGGTCCATCCACGTCTCTACAAATGACCCAATTTCGTTCCTTTTTATGGCTGAGTACTATTCCGTTGTATATATGTACCACGTCTTATTTATCCGTTCGTCTGTCGATGGGCATTTAGGTTGCTTCCATGACCTGGCTATTGTAAATAGTGCTGCAGTGAACACTGGGGTGCACGTGTCTTTTACAATTATGGTTTCTCTGGATTTATGCCCAGTAGTGGGATTGCTGCGTCACATGGTAATTCTATTTTTAGTTTTTTACGGAACCTCCATGCTATTCTCCATAGTGACTATATCAATTTACATTCCCACCAACAGTGCAAGAGGATTCCCTTTTCTCCATACCCTCTCCAGCATTTGTTGTTTGTAGATTTTCTGATGATGCCCATTCTAACTGGTGTGAGGAGATACCTCATTGTAGTTTTGATTTGCATTTCTCTAATAATTAGTGATGTTGAGCACGTTTTCATGTGTTTTTTGGTCATCTGTATGTCTTCTTTGGAGAAACGTCTATTTAGGTCTTCCGCCCATTTTTGCATTGTGTTGTTTGTTTTTTTGATATTGAGCTCCATGAGCTGCTTGTAAATTTTGGAGATTAATCCTTTGTCAGTTGCCTCATTTGCAAATATTTTCTCCCATTCTGAGGGTTGTCTTTTCGTCTTGTTTATGTTTTCCTTTGCTGTGCAAAAGCTTTGAAGTTTCATTAGGTCCCATTTGTTTATTTTTGTTTTTATTTCCATTACTCTAGGAGGTGGGTCAAAAAGGATCTTGCTGTGATTTATGTCAAAGGGTGTTCTTCCTATGTTTTCCTCTAAGAGTTTTATAGTGTCCGGTCTTACATTTAGGTCTCTAATCCATTTTGACTTTCTTTTTGTGTATGGTGTTAGGGAGTGTTCTAATTTCATTCTTTTACATGTAGCTGTCCAGTTTTCCCAGCACCACTTATTGAAGAGACTGTCTTTTCTCCATTGTATATCCTTGCCTCCTTTGTCACAGATGAGTTGACCGTAGGTGCGTGGGTTTATCTCTGGGCTTTCTGTCCTGTTCCATTGATCTATATTTCTGTTTCTGTGCCAGTACCATATTGTCTTGATTACTGTAGCTTAAAAAGCATTAAGGTTTAAAGGTAAGTTTCTTACCGACACCATGTTTTAAGAAATACAACATGTATATTTTGAAGGCAGAATATAATAAATGTTAATACTGTTGTTAATCTATGAACTATGCTGGTGAAACTGTCTTCTATTTTATGATATGACATCTTTTACATTAGGACCTGTGTGACCTTTTAAAAATTAGGTCTGAAAATAAAAACTTCATCTCTCTGCTTTCCAGGTAATGAAAACTATATCTCTCATCCATTCATTTATCTGTTCATTCAACAAATATGTAAGTTCCTACACTAAGTCAGGCTCTGTTCTAGCCACTGCTGATGAATCAGTAAGCAAGATAAACAAGGCCTTCCCGCTGGTCAGCTTTATTTATTTTTTCAATCATTATTTTTTTTGCCCCAGCTTTTTTTTTTTTTTGTGGCCGTGCCACGTGGCATGCAAGATCTTAGTTCCCCGACGAGGGATCGAACCCATGCCCCCTGCAGTGGAAGTGTGGAGTCCTAACCACTGGACTGCC